TATATAATACTTAAACAATGCATCCCCTACAAAGATGCTATAACAAACTATGTTAGTGGAAAATTAAGACCAAGATTTATAGATGAAACTGATTGACAAATTGCCGAACTCTTGTTTAACTTTTTAGGTAGATTTCACGAAATTACTTTAAAGCTTAGTGAAACTTATTACCTGTTAGGAACCTAATATTTAGAAGTCTTTTTCAATAGTCTTTAAGGAGAGTATAAATAGGGGGTATAGTAGCTAGGGAGGGGATAATCAGATTTGTAGAGTGTGTTAGTGCTGTGTACTATTTTGGAGGTCGGGGGTCCTCGAAACCGCCCATCTATCTTGTAATTTTTCATTTCTAGTATTGTTAATAAAGCATAGATTTTCAGGATCCTAACATTACCTAACGTCACCATTAGCGTTAGGAGAACTTTTAATAATGTCTATTTTATTTAGTGAATTTAGGACACACGAGGTTTTAAGAGTTCCTATCGCTTCTATGAAAAATAAGTTTAAAAAATATTGGTCTAAATTACCAATGTTGTATGGTTTCAGTGTTATTTTCGATCTTAGATTAAAATTAGATAGTTTAGAAAATGGATTAGATAATTTATGTGACTTTTTAGATATCGACACTATTGACCAATTTCCTATTATAAAATAAAAAATATTATCTCTCTATAGCTCTTATGAAAGTAGGTTTAGAAACACAGCTCGTCTAGAACAACCGCAACAACGAGACGACAATCTGCATTCATTCTTGAATATTTTCAAGTTATCTAAAAAGAAGAAGACGACGATGATGACTTAATGTCAAGAAGAATCTGGGAGTGGATCTTCATCAAGAGGTGGCAGCAACAGCGACGGCTTCAACGAGTTAATGGCGTACCTGAGTGAGGGCTTAATTATAGATAATAGTGAAATGTTTGATTTGGTTTAGTGGTGGAGGGCACGAGCATTAACTTGGCCGATCCTAACTCGATTGGCAATAGATATTTTTTCGATCTCAGTCTCTACTGTTGCAGCCGAACAAGCATTCAGTACAACTTGCCGAATACTTGAAGAACGGAAAAACACATTGCAACAAGATATTGTTGAAGCTTTGGTGTGAATCAAGAATTGGGATCGTTCCGACCAATGCTTACACGATACAATTTCACCGGCAAACCAAGAATGGATCGATGATTTTAATAGATTAACTTTTAATTTTCAAAACGATCCATCTGCTTCAAATTAAATTCTATTATTGTAATTTGTAAATATTTATTTACTTTGTACAGTATTATTGTAATCTTATATAGATTTTATAAGTTCGTCAAATTTGTAATTCGTCCCACAATGATTACTCTTTTTTCCTTATCAAGATTTTATCCCAACTGAATTTTTCTTGGTAAAGTTTTTAACGAGACAATCATGAATTATAAATTTAAAAATTAATAAATAAATAAATTTTTTATATAGTTCGTGTTCATTTCGAATTTCAAATTGTAATATATATATATATAATATAAAAACTATTTAAAAATTCAGACAACTTGGTCGGGCTTGGGCAGCCCGACCGGACACGAGCAGCCAAAGGCTGCCCGAAGCCCATCCAAGTAGTTATTCAGGTCAGGTCGGGTCGGGCAGTCCGAAAATTCGGGCAGGGTGGGCTCGGTCATGGGTAAAAATTCAGAATTTTCGTTGGTTGCGGGTGGCCCGTCCAAAATTTCAGCACTAATCGGTGTTCTTGTAATAAGTAAGACACCCTACACTTTGAAATACCATATATTGGGTTTTCTTCCTCTCCATAACTCATATGGAGATGTTTTATTTTTCTTAAAATGAATTTTATTAAGAATATGACATGCACTAAGAAGGGCTTCACCCCACAAATTAAATGACAACTCAAAATGCAATAACATAGCATTAATCATCTCAAGAAAAATTCGATTTTTCCTCTCAGTTAAACCAGTTTGTTCAGGTGTTCTAGGTGCAGAACATTCATGTATAATGCCATTTTCTTCACAAAATGTATTAAAATCATTTGGAAAGTACTCACATCTTCTATAACTCCTAAGAATTTTAATTTTCCTTCTCAATTGATTTTCCACTTCCGCTTTAATTTTCCTTAAATACATTAAAAACTTCATCTTTATGTTTCAATGAAATAACGATTACCACCTCTTGTAATCATTCCATTTATTCACAAATATCAGAATGTATTAATTCTAATAATTGTGAATTTCTTTCAACACTATGAAACGGTTTATTTATCATTTTAGATTTAACACATATTTCACATTTTTTAAAATTATCAACATCACAATTGAATAATCCACACTTGATCATTCTTTTTCATAGTTGATATACCAATATGTGCTAATCTACCATGCCACAAAGAAACAGAATCAACCATATAAGCGAAATCAACATTTTTATTAATAGAATTGTCAATAGTACATAATTTGACCATTCCCTCACTAGAATAGCATTTTTCAACAAAAGAACCATTTTGGGACAAGATTAACTTGCCCAACTCATACACAGCCTTAATCCCAGGTTTACCCAAAAGATCCCCACTAGTTAGATTTCTATTCATATCGGGTACATAAAGTACATTGGCTAGAGTGATTTTCTTCTTAGAAGTAAATGCAAGTTCCACACTCCCTTTGCCAAGCACTTTGGAACGGACTTCATTCCCCATTTGAATCTCGTCCGACACTCACCTCTTGGAAAGTTTTGAATATAGATCTATCATAGTTAACATGAACGGTAGCACAAGCGTCATACTACCATCCGGGAACCTTGCCTTGTATCGCATTGATTTAATCGCTAGGCTTCTTTTTGTAGCGGCAATCTCTTGCATAGTGTCTCGCTTTGTCACACACAAAGCATGCTCCCTTGGGTTTCTTGTTGGCTTGTGTCTTTTTGAATTTGTCTTGATTCTTTTTAGGACTCAAATTCTTGTTCTTGTTGGTTTGTGAGGGCTTAGTCACGGCATTGGCTTTGGAAATACCCTCATAAGAATTTTCATTCTTATCTCTTGCCCTTGACTCCTCTTCGATCTGAAAATGTTTTTGTATGTGCTCCAATGAAAAATCTTCGGAACTATGCAAAATCTTCTTTATATATCCTTTCCAAGTAGAAGACAATTTAGCAATAATTGCTCCTATTTGAAATGATTCAGGAAGTTCGATTTTCACAGCCATCAACTTATTGACAATTACTTGCAATTCATGCACTTGTAGTAAAATTGGTTTATCATCAAAAAATTTAAAATCAAAATACTTTGAAAGTAAGAATTTCTTGGTACCTTCCTCTTCCGCTTTGTATTTGAACTCCAATGCGTTCCATATCTCTTTTGCAGAAGATGTATTGGTGCAGAGATCATAGAGACGATCGGAGAGAGCATTGAGAATGTGGCCACGGCATATCAACTCATCCTCCTCCCGTTTCTTTCGTTCCGCCTTCAACGTTTCAGTGTCATCATCGGTTGGTTTGGAAATAGGCTCCAAATCCGGACTCAATACGTAGAAGATATTCAATGCAGTCAAGAGAAACTTCAATTTGTCCTACCACCTTGTAAAGTTAGTCCCATCAAAACGATCCAATTTAACCAAGTCCTGGTTCATCAATTTGATAGTGACAACGGTAGTTTCGGTCTCCATTACAGAAAAATTACGCTTTAAGATTGTTAGAAATCTTGAGGGAAAGGAGACTTGAAACACGTAGAACGTATGCTTTCCTTAAAGCGTAATTTGCCCCCTCTTGTTAGAGATTGCTTCGGGTTCTCGTCAAATCACTCGCAGGATATGACAAGCCTTCAAGTTGTTAATCATAAGCAAAATGACAACACTAAGAACACAAGAACTCTTAGAATTTCTGGAAATTTTGAATAAGAAGAGAGAAGAATTGTAGAAAATTATTTCTCATAATTTATCAGCAATTCTTGTTCTTTTTATTGTTTTTTATCATACCAATACGTACAGGCACAACCAAACTTGAAAAGACACCTTTTCCATTTGAATTGGTGTCAATTCAAGTTTCAAAAAACGCGTCTGATCGTTACGGCACTGCAGCGGCAGTTTCTGGCACTGCAGCGCCCAGAAACTGTCCGCGTAAGCCCGAACGCTGCAGTGCCCATCACTGGAGCTGCAGCGCCCATTCTAGTGTCGCGGCGCCCAAACTCAACGCCGCGGCACCCTACTTGCTGGAAATTGTATACGCCCATTCCAAAGCCGCGGCGTCCAAACTCAGTGCCGCGGCGCCCTGCTTGCTGGAAATTGCTATCTCTTAAATGCACAGAATGCAAGGCGCTTTAATATGTGATAAAACTTAACAAATTCTTATATATTATATTTAAACAATCCCAACATTTTGTTCTAAGATTAGTGTCATTTTAGGTAGCTTTATAAGCTAAGTGACCTATCTGTAATAGGCAGTTTTGGAAAATTGAATATAGAATTGTAGTCCTGTTTTGGGATCTCGGGAATTTGAATATAGAATTGTAGTCCTGTTTTGGTATCTCGGGAATTTTTCTTTGATCGACCATCGATTTGGCTACTTCTTGTTAAGACTTCCTACGGCAATTACATTTAGATTAGTACAACTTTGAGAGCTCAGAGAGTCTGTTATGTGCTTGTTTGTACATGTGGACCACTTCAATTAATAATTAAGGCCTCGTTCACTTTGCGGATTCGAGTTTTCAATTCGAGTTGAGATGTGATACTTTCTGAGAGCTTTTTACTATAGCAGAAAATTTTAATGTGACATTTTCTGAGAGCTTTTTACTGTAGAAACCTAAAACTGAAAACTCGAATCGGTAGAATGAACGAGGCTTAAGGAGATAAAAAGCCCACCACACTGACTTGTTCTAACTTCTATGCTGCTTGATTATATCACAACGAATTATTTGCTTATCTTTGGCTTTCCTCAATACATATTTACAAGACAAACATGTATACCATACAAGAAAAACAAACAGCAAGTCAGGACTCAGAAGCAAAAATCTATGGAGCAGAGTAGAGTACCTGGATCCGGTGGCACCAATAAGCTTCCAAGGAACTTCCTAACTGAAGGGAGGATAGTGCACCAACTTCTAAACTCTTGAAAAGACATACATTCTTCGGTACCTTCATCATGCTTTGTGAAAACTGCAGAATCAAGAAATATGCCAACACTATCCTTGGATGAATTATCCCCTTTGAATATATGGTCAAAGATTGCAACCAAAACAGCTTCCAGGTCTGACCTGAAATTCCAAAGCCAGTGCACATAAATCATAAAAAGAGAGTAGAAATTAGCCGCGTACTCTATCGTTTAAGCAAACAACAAACAATAAAGGAAAAGGTTTCTCATACATGGTCCCCGAACTTTAAACCAAATCCACGTTGCTCCATGTCCTAAAACTAATCTGACTTAATATGACAAAATTAGTCCGTTTGTCAGCCAACTGTTAAAAAGTGATGGAAACGAACACCTGAGTCACGTGTGGAGGGTAGTTGGATTACTAAAGTGAGTTGTAAATGCCCTAGGAGCCCAATCAGACATCATAACACACATTTACAGGATGTTCTATATTAAGAACGAAATCTGAACATTCAGTTAATCCTGCCCTGAAAGCCACCGGAAAGGACTAATTTTGCCACAAGAAGATAGATTTAGGTCAGTTTTGAGACTTTCAAGAGTCAGGGACCAAAGTGAAAATTTGTTTAAAGTTTAAGGATCATTTTTGGGATTAACCCCAAAAGAAATTACCAGGATAAGTCCACCACCATGGACTAATTCTACTATATTTTCCACTATTTGAAACCAACAGAGCAGCAACAAACAATTAGTGCTCAGTTGCAGGTTTATCCATAAGCTACCAATAGTATATTCATCAATTCATGGATCAAATTCAATTGCTAACCCATCAAAGGTACAAATTCATATGAATTTAAAATTTAAAGGAACAATCTTGAACGCACATAAAATATTTCAAGTGCTCAAGCAAAATATAGGGAATATATATACAACCAGGTATAAGAACAACAGAGATTAGCTGTAGTTGTAATAGGCCAAAGTTGTAGTTACAAGGAAGACAACAGTATAATACCTTCCCAAAATGCCATCCCCATTTACGTCTAATAACAGATAGATAAATTCTTCAATCTCATCTTTGGTTCCCTTCTCATAAGTCCCCTACAATAAAGAAAAGCCAAGAACAAAGAACAAAATTTGAAATATTATTCTGTAATAAAAATGCCCATTTCGAGAACTTTGTCAAAATAAAAAAAAATTAAAAAAAAAAAGCCCCGGTTTCCTATTGAAGCCAGACTAATACCTTAGCAATAACAAGGTCTTCAAAGGTGAGTTGATGATCCTTGCGTTGCTGGGTAACTAAATCGAAAAGCCTTTCTCCGAGAGGACCATGAATTTCGAAATACGCCTGTAAGCGGCCACCAATAATAAAATAAAAATGTGCGTTTGCTCAATATAATTGAGTTGAGAATTATTACAAAAAGATTTTAAAAAAATTAAAATTGATAACAAAAAGCGAAGAGAGAGGAAGAAACCGACCTGGAAAACCGACGGAGATATGATTTTGCCATTGCTCTGCGATTGCGCAGATAGAGATTGGAAAAGGGACTTGAGGTCTTCCAGTTCCTTTTGAGTAAAAGCTCTTGAATAAGATTAATCAGTCAATCACTATCTTATACATTCCATAAATACATACATATATATAGAGAGAGATAGAGAGATAGAGAGAGAGACCTAGAAGCAGTAGTGAAGCGAGGATCGGTGGAAGTGCGAGGTGAGTGAGAATTGCCCATCTCCTTAATTTTCCCTTTCCTGGATCAGTTATGCATTGATTTGAGCTTTCGTCTCCAAACTGAAATGATTAATAGAAACATGTGGAAACATCACGTTGGAAGATTCAAATCATGTGATTTGAATCATTTTTTATTTACGTGAATTTTTTATAAGAAAAAATACTATAGCGAACCATGAATCATGATTCAAATCAAGGAACGAATCCCTTTACCAAACGGTTATAATACCGGTCTAGAATAATAGTACCTGCATTTTCAATGGGCAATACGTTAGGATGACTAACAAAGTAAAATTAATAAAATAACTTTCTTCATTTTTTATAAAAAATCATCACTTAATCATTTTTTATAAAAAATGATCATTTTACAAATAAAAATTTTTAAAAAGTTATTTTACTAATAAAACTTTTCTATTGAGTTATTTTTACAAAGTCCTCATTTTCAGTGGATAAAACTTGTTGATCGTTATGATACAACGTAGTGCGTTCGAAATTATTTTTTAATTCTTTTTAAAAATATTTTTGTACGTATTTAAAATACGAAAATAAAAATAATTTATAAATCGTCTTTGTTTAATAAAATTTTTAAAAACGGAAAAGAAAATAAAAAATAATTGATGCCTTTTAAATTATTTTTAAAAACGCTTATGAATGTTTTTTGAGGCATAAAAACGAAAACAGTTTTCAAATTGCGTTTGTTTAATAAAAATTTTGAAAACGGAAATGAAAACAAATGAGAATAATTTTTATGAAAAAAGTAGAAAACGATTGAAAGTTATTTTCTCCTTTTTTTTATTTTCTAGTATTTATCAATAAAATTATATTAAATAATTAATAATTAATTAATTATTAATAAAATAATAAATAATATAGTAATTAATTATTTAGTTAAAGATATATTGTCAAAATTTTAATTATATAACATATTAACAATAAAACAAGTAATAATTGATTATTAAATGATTAATTAATAATTAATATATCAATCATATTATAATTTATTAATTAGTAAATAGTTTGTAAATAAAAAATAAATAGTAATTACTTAATTAATAATTAATATTAAATTATAATTATCAATATGTAATATACTAATCAATAATACTTAATAATTGATAATTAGTAATTAATCATTATAAAAAGAATAATTACTAAAAGTTGGTCATGTGATACATCAAATAATAGATTATTAAATAAACATTAGTAATTAATTAACTAGTTATTTAATTATATAACTAAAAGTTAATAATTTAAGTAGTAAACGGAATATTCATAAATTATGTATAGACTAATTAATTACTTATAATCTAATAAACATGAGTACATTACTAAGTTAGTAATTACTTATAATTTAATTACTAATGTATTCATTAACGATAATTTATCCATTTTTATTATATTATTAATATATTAATTTTTATTTGCTAAATAATTATCAATTATAAATTACTTAATATATTAATTTAAGATTATTAATTACATGTACTCAAAACAAATATAAATTTAACCAAACACGATTTTACTTTTTTATCATACTCAAATCAATCTCTTGATAGACCACCAAACGTAATTTCAGAATCAGTTCTAAAATAATTTTCAAAACAAACTCATTTTCATTTTTGTACCAAAAATAAAACTATTTTGAAAACATTACTAAACGGGCTCATTGTTTTCTTCTTAAAGTCACATTTTCATGTTGTTTATGCCGCATTTCGATAGACATGCTATTTGTGTTGCGACTAAAATATCTTTGTCAGTTAAGTAGAAAAAGCTACATGTCATTTTATTTATTTACTTATTTGCCAAAGAAAATACCCAAAACACTATTGTATTTGGTTAAAATAGCAGTTTTTCTCTTTTTTTATGTAAATGCTCAAAACATCTTATGTGTTATAAAAACATATCCAAAACTCCTCTTGGAGTAATTAAATTTTTGAAAATATCATTACTCTTCTCAAACTATATTAAATGTTATTTTAGATATGATTTGCCTAAAAAGTTAAATAAAAAATAAAAAAGGCTCAAATAAATATTTTAATCAAAGAATACTTCAATTAATTTGAGAGTTTTTCATTTTTTAAGATTGATGTTATTTAACATTTTGGTTTAATAATGTTTTAAATAGTTTAATAAAGATTAGGAAGAGTAATATTGGTATTTTAAAAAATAGTTTTTTTTGGAGCTATTTTGGGTCTGTATCTATAAATATAGGGAATATTTTAAGTATTTACATAATAAAAAAAAGGCAAAAGTGATATTTTGAGGAGGGTGTGTTGCGTATTTTCTTTTGCCAATGAGAAAACTTTATTCAACAGCAAAACCAAGAACTTTATTCAACAGCAAAGGACCCAGTGGAAAGTAGAAACAGAGGATGCCATAAGGAACTACAAAACGTTTTATTTCTTGTTTAGTTTACTCATTTAAGTTTTTAATTTGAATTGAAATGTGACTTTATGTAAGAGTTTTTAACTGTAGCATAAAAAATTAGTTGTAACTTTTTATGAGAGTTTTTAACTATAATAAAACTGAAATTGAAAACTTAAATAAGTGAAATGAAAGAGGTTAATTCGCCTATTAAATATTTATCTAAAATAGTTGGTCCTTTAACTGAAAATTAACATGTCGTTTTCTTAACTTGGTTGAATAAAAGTTTTTTATTTTTTAACACGGAAATTACAAGTCGCTTCTTATTTTTAGATTTTCAAATAAGTTGACAGATTAGGGTGTTGTTATGTAAGGAAGTTAAAAGGACTAGTTTTATGTGGGGAAACTCTATCCTCATTTACTACTTCACTAGAAGACTCGATATGTCGTTTATTATCTTAATTTTGCTTTGTTTCTTGAGAAGACATCATTCCTACTCCTTAATTCTTTTTTTTAATTATTATTTTTGAAAGCTTCAAATACTTAATCGTACTTTTCCTTATTTCGTTTTTTTAATGTTTTACGTCGTTTTTAAGGTCCTAAGTCGTTTTCTAATGGCTCTCATTTTTCGAGTGGCTGTCGTTTTTCAGGTTCTTATGGTTTCTCCATTTTGATTGTCGTTTAAAGGAACAACGTCGTTTCAGCTAGTCATTGCTATTAAAATAGCATGTCGTTTTATCTATAATGGCCTTGCATCATTTATTGTCGTTTTCAAGTTGTACGTCAATATTTTCGGGTTGTTCTTGTTTTCATGTTTCGTATCGTTTTTATAACTGTTCACGTTTTTTCATTTGCTTGTCGTTTTTGACGTTGTTGTCCTTTATGTTTTGACTCTTTTGAGTCTTTTGACTACTGTTTTTTTTAATAAGGTTTTAGGTTTTAATTACTACAAACAACTCACAAGCTTTCATAAAAAAACATAAAAAAAAATAAAAAAAACAATAATTAAAAAAAATCGAAAGTTGGAAAAAATAAAGAAAAGAAAAATGAAACTGTAAATTGAGAATATGGGACTTGGCGTTGGGATTTGTGAGGGAAGAAACACCTCTCCTCTGCCTCAGCCTTGAAGATCAAAATAAGCTTTCACCAACTTCTTCGCAATTTTCAGAAAAAAGAAAAAGGCATTTTCAGAAGTCTCAGATCACAATTTAACTAACTTCTCCGATCAAATTCCGCCGGAGCTGAGTTACCTCTTCTTCTCCGGCTCCGATCTGTAAGTTTTCTTCTCTAATTTTCGCTTACTTTCCATTTTTTTTTAGATTTTTTCCCTTTCCATTATCGATACTTCTTCGCTTTCTCCGTCAAACCTTGTTTTGGTTGAGGAATAAATGGAGAAAACGTAAAAGAACCTAGAATTTCGGCGTTCTTTGTTCAAAGACTTTCACTTTCTTAGTACCTCAGAGAAAATTGAGTTAATGGTCATGAAAGAAATGAATTTGAACAATTTGTTTGTGCTCCATTTTTTCCTGTTATATCCTCAGCAATAAACAGAGGAGAAATTGATAATTACATTAGGAGAATTTGAGAAAGCAAAGGATTTTTTTTTTTTTGCTCCTTTCACATTCTCAAGGTTTGAATTTCTAGGGTTTAGTTTAGTTTTGTTTTGTTTTTTCTTTTCTTTTTTTACTTTGTTATTGTAAGCATAATCTAGTTTGGTTTAAGCGTTTCCAAAGGTAAAATACAAAAGCAACCATAATAGTTTAGTAAATTATCGCTCTTGGTTGTGAAAAGCATCAATTTTTCATGAAAAATGAGTAAATGGACATTTATTTATTTATTTATTTGGATAATTGTAAAACAGGCTAAGTTCAGAGGAGTCTGTGAGGGATGTCAAGGCCTTGGGTGCTCGTTTGTTTGCTCTTGTTAATTGTGTTTACATCACAGTTTGAATGGAAGCAACAGTACGGAAATGAAATTGAAGCAAGTCCCAATACGTCCAAGAGGCAGCAATACCAATCCGAAAGAGAAGAATCTGTGAAAGAAAAAGTGAGCTTTATTATTATTATCTTCCGTCTTTTTGTTTCTGTTTAACTTACTAGTATTCTCTAGTGAACGTATATTAAACCCAGTATTTCTGTTTCTTGGGGTAGAATAGTGAGATTGAAACGTCAAGGGTATTAGTTGAAAAAAAATAACATGCATTTTGGAATCTGATACCTTCTTGGTATTCTATGCTTTGGGTAAGGTATTATGTCAGTTTCCATTTGGTTCATTAAGAAACATAGGGACAAAACTGAAGTCTCGGAATCCTACAATTTTGAAGAAGGAGAATGGAAAAGAAATGCTGATTTAATGAACCTGGTTTCTTGTTTCACTCTTTTCTTTTTGTTCGCTAATATACCGAAGCATTAAGCTAGGCATAGATGGAATATCGGAAAAAATGACTTCATTGCCTAAGACTGTTTTGTCTAGTGGCATGGGGGGTTTGGATTGAGTTAGGCTTTGGAGGAGGTTGAGAGTTCGATCCAGCCTTGTGTAGAACACTCTTTTGCGTCTAAACCTTTCTTCTCACTTTTTCTTAATATAACAGAATTTCAACCAAGGTTGTGACCTGGTTCATATGTTGTTGGCTCTAACTTCTGCTGCAGATTATCCTCTCCCAAGAGACAAACATACAGAAACTTAACGAGCTTGTACGTAGTCTTAGAGAACAGTTACTACAGTGCCGGGGTGAGAATGAGGTTGACAATGGCACTACTACCCCTTTGACAGAACTTCTAACTGAGCTTGAGAAACCGCCTCTCTTGGAGGACTAGTCCTGGCTTATACATGTTAAACATCAGCATTTCTAAACTTGTAAGTAGGAAAACTTACTCATCCTTAGAAGAATCTAGCTTCATCATTGGATTATATCCGAATTGTAGTCGAATTGAAGAGAAAACAATATTAGATTTACTCTATTGTACTATTTGTATGTATTTATGGATGACCGAAGAGAGAACCCCAGTTTTTTCCCCTTTCTTTTCTCTTCTTTCCTTTTCTTTTTTCTTTTCTTTCCTAATGTTGTATCAAACTCAAATTGATGTATCTGTTCATATTTTGTTACAATTGGTGAATGATAGCAAGAGCAATATTAAATATGTGTTGTGGGATACTAATGAGGGACCCTAGCATAACCATGAGGATGCTGTCTGGAGTAGGAAGTAATGACCTCATAACTAAATCAAGCCCTGGATTGCCACTTGGTTAGAACCGGCATCTGTAAGGTTTTTGAGATTATCACTTACTATGCCAGCATTGTCTGATCATATCTATACTAGTAGATTCTTCCTCACGGATCATTTTTATGTTTGGTTGATTTGAATCTACACAGTTATCTAACTGAAGATTTTCAGAGAACCGGAATAGGGTTTTGAGGAAGAATTTAATTCTTATTCTTATCAAAAACGCACTATACAGCCAAATATATATATACATACTTTAGGGGATAACCACAGCCGGTTGAATCCCTTAATTCTAGCAGACTAGATAACAAAATCAAGAAGCTACTTATCTAGTAATTAGAAAAATCAGGAAACTAATTAAATCCCCTATAAATAAGGAAACTAACAGTTGTACAAACTTAGCTTGTTTACACTGGATTTTCACACTCCCCCTCAAGCTGGAGAATGTATATCAATCATTCCCAGCTTGGATAGAAGAATGTCAAATTGAGTTCTTGCAATGGCTTTGGTTAATATGTCTGCCGTTTGCTGTCACGTGGGCATGTAGACAACTTCAACGATCCCATCATATATCTTTTCCTTGATAAAATGACGGTCTATTTCCACATGCTTGGTACGATCATGAAGGACTGGATTTTTCGAAATGATGATGGTTGCCTGATTATCACACAACAGTTTCATAGGAGTCTTAATTGGAAGTTGTAGTTCCTCTAGGAGTCTTTTTAGCCACATCCCTTCACAAATTCCATGTGCTAGGGCCCTGAACTCAACTCAGCACTACTCCGTGCAACTACTGATTGCTTTTTACTCCTTCAGCTGACCAAATTTCCCCACACAAAGGAACAATATCCGGAAGTTGATCATCTATCAGTCAAAGACCCTGCCCAATCTGCATCTGACAGAATCTCTACGCCCCTGTTGATTCCTTTCTTGAAGAGTATACCTTTGCCGGGAAACATCTTTAAGTACCTCAGAATTCTATACACTGCTTCTTGATGCTCTTCATTCGGACTATTTATGAATTGACTAACTCTACTGACTGCAAAATTGATGTTTGGTCTTGTGTGAGACAAGTAGATCAATTTGCTCACTAATCTTTGATATCTTCCTTTATTTACTTGACCTGAGTCTCCTTTAGTTCCAATTTTGTTGAATGGATCCATGGGAGTATCTGAAGGTTTGCAGCCAAGCATGCCTGTTTTCTTTAGTAAGTCCAGTGTATATTTCCTCTGCGAGACTGAAATTCCTTTACTAGACCGTGCTACCTCCATTCCAAGAAAGTACCTTAGGACTTAAAGATTTTTAATTTTAAATTCTCGACTTATAACCCCTTTTAGCCGAGTAATCTCTACCTCATTATCTACTGTGACAATTATGTCATCAACATAGACAATAAAGATTGGGATCTTACAATTTGGAGTTCTCTTGATGAACAATGTGTGATCAGATTGTCCCTGCAAATAACCCTGCTTTTGAACTAATCAAACCAAGCTCTTGGAGATTGCTTGAGACCATACAGTGACTTCCGAAGCCTGCAAACTTGCTTGCAATCACTTGGCTTCTTGAGGCCGGGTAGGATCTCCATATATACTTCATCTTCCAGATTTCCATTGAGGAATGCATTTTTAACATCAAATTGGTGCAACTTCCAGTCAAGGTTGATGGCTAAAGAAAGTAGAACTTGGATGGTATTCATCTTTACAACCGGAGCAAAGGTTTCCTGACAGTCAATCCCATAGGTTTGTGTTAAGCGCTTTGCCACAAGTCTTGCCTTGTACCTGTCAATGCTCCCATTTGCTTTGTATTTAACATTGAAAACCCACAAACATCCTACAGCATGTTTTCCCTGAGGGAGTTGAGTGAGTTCCCACGTGTCATTCTTATGCAAGGCTCTTAGCTCTTCATTTACTACTTTTCTCCATTCTAGATGTAGTAGTGTCTCTTGGAATTTGGATACTGTCCAGATTTGTGGTGAAGGCCCTGTAACTCGGAGATAGCTTCTCATATGACACAAAGTATGAGATAGGATGTTGAGTGCACGATCTAATCCCTTTCTTTTGAGCAATTGGCTTGCTAAGATCATCAGGCAAGCATGCATCATTAGAAGAGGAATAGGGTTCAGTATTACCTTGTATCACTTCATTTGGAGTTGAACTCAGGTTGTCTGCTTGGCAAGGCGTAGGAGTCTAAGATGCTCTACTAGTTCAGGGGTCTTCTTACGTCTGGTGTAGACTAGGAGTTCCTTCTCAGCCACGGGTTCAGGAGGGAGATCACTCACGGGTTCTTTCTCAGGCTCTTCTAACATCATACTATCCCAAAACTGATATTCCTCTTGTAGTTTCTCCCCCTGAATAGAGGTTTTGGAATAATATGGGATATTCTCCATGAAAGTAACATCCATAGTGTTATATGTTTTCCTAGTAGATGGGCAATAGCACTTGTAACCTTTTTTATGAGGTGAGTACCCTAGGAACAAACACTTGACAGACTTGGGATCAAGTTTGCTTCGTTGATGAGAAGGAATATGGACGTAGGCTGACCATCCAAACACTTTAAGAGGTATAGTATTCACCACCCTGCTTTGTGGGAAGAGTTTAAGAAGAATTTGGCATGGTGTATTAAATCCCAAGATTCGAGATGACATCCTATTAATCAGATAGGTGGCAATTAAAACTGCTTCCTCTCAAAAGTGTTTTGGCACATTGCTAGCAAATAGGATAGAACGGGCTACCTCAAGAAGGTATCGGTTTTTCCTTTCTGCTATTCCATTTTGTTGGGGAGTATCTGTACAAGAACTCTGATGGATAATGCCATTCTCGAGTAGATAGGGTCCTAGGATTGAGTTGAAATATTCCATAGCATTGTCGGTTCTAAACACCTGAACTGAAGCTTGAAACTGGTTTTTAATCATACAAAGAAATGTTCTAAATAAGGATCCAACCTCTGATTTTTCTTTCATAAGGAATACCCAGGCAACGCGAGTGTGATCATCGATAAAGGATACAAACCATCTTGCACCAGTTATATTTGGAATCCGAAAGGGTCCCAAAATATCACTGTGTATAACTGAAAAAGGATGAGAGGGTTTGTAACCTTGAAGAGGATAAATACTACGATAGTGTTTCAAAAATTGACAAACTTCACATTGGAAAAATTTTAGATTTTTATTGATAAATAATGAAGGAAACATCTTTGCCAAATACAAGAAATTTGGATGTCCTAAACGAAAGTGCAGTAACCTAATGGAACTGTCTTTATTGGAATCAAAATACGATGGTCCGAATCTTTAACTGTTGAGGCAGTGGAGTGATGAGCCCGAGAGTAAGGATAGGCTTTGTCCCTAATCTAGTAGAGTTCCCGGTCTTGCTTAGCATTGCCAATCATCTTTCCCGAATCCAAATTCTGAAATAAACATGAAGTGGGAGAAAACTGAGCAACACATTTAGAATCTGTAGTGAGTTTATTTACTGACAGCAAATTGCAAGTTAATTTCAGAACCAAAAGAATAGATATGACAACTTTTCCAATTCCTGTTACTAAGGAAATTTATCCATCAGCAATCCAGACTTTATAATCCTTAAGACAAGGATAACATTCTTGGAATAATGAAGCATCACCAGTCATGTGGTCTGAGGCTCCTGAATCAACAATCCAGTTTGTGGAATCCTCGATTTTGACATGATGAGTGGCTGCAAAAATACCTTTCTTTGCAGTGGATCCCATGGAGATAGTTGGGGCAAGGTTTGAGTTTTGGTTGAACATCTTCTGTAGCCATTCAAGTTGCTCATTGCTGAAGAGACTAGGTTCCGAGTTTGATAGACTTTCCTTGGCTTCAGGGGCAGCAACAAAACTTTGAGCTTCTCTTCTCGATTCGGCTTCCAATCAACGGGCTTACCATGGATTTTCCAGTAGGTTTCTTTAGTGTGTCATGTTTTCCGGCAGTGATCACACCAGGGCCGAGTCTTCTTCTGCTTTGTGTCATGAGCTGCATAAGTTCCCCTTGCTGCAAGGGCTGAGCCTTCTGTTCTTGTAGGTAGTGGACTTCCTAGCATAAGTTTCTTCCTACTTTCCTCTCTCTTGACTTCCGAGAATGCCTCTCGAATGGATGGAAATGTCTTGGTTCCAAGAATTCTCCCCCTTACTTCATCAAGGGATTTGTTAAGCCCTAGCAGAAACTTGAAAACTCTCTCCTTTTCTATAATTTTCTTATGCAGGTTTGCATCTCCAAGACATTCCCAAGCCGGACTATCAAACATATCCAATTGTCGCCAAAAACGTGGTAGACAATTATAGTATTGAGTCACATTTAACTTACCTTGTCTTAGGTCGTGAAGTGCTCCCTATAATTCTGCAGTGTTCTCGTTGTCTGAGTAGGTCTCTTGAGCCGCCATCCATATTTCATGTGCAGTGTCATAGAACAAAAAATTATGTCCAATTTTTGTGTCCATGGTATTGACTAGCCAAGGCATAACCATATTATTTTCTGCTTTCCATATTTTGTACTTGGGGTCATTCGGTTTTGGTGAAACAGCCACTCCCGTGAGATAATCATCTTTCCCTTTGCCTAAGATGAACATCATGACAGACTTGGCCTATTGAAGATAATTCTGACCATTCAACTTGTGTTGGGTGATGAGAAGAATTAAGCCCTCTGATCTGCCTCCATTCAAGCAATCCTGACAGCCGAGGTTCCTAGGGTATTGCTTGTTTCTAATGCCATGAGGTGGATTTAGGGTTTGCAGTCATGACGATAACTAAGAGAAGATTGTGGCTTGAATAAAAGAAAACCCTAAAATTGGATTAGCAACCTTTCTTTAATACCATGAAGATTTTCAGAGAACCGGAATAGGGTTTTGAGGAAGAATTTAATTCTTATTCTTATTAAAAATGCACTATACATCCAAATATATATATACACTTTAGGGGATAACCACAGTCGGTTGAATCCCTTTATTCTAGCAGACTAGATAACAAAATCAGGAAGCTACTTATCTAGTAGTCAGAAAAATTAGGAAACTAATTAAATCCCCTATAAATAAGGAAACTAACAGCTGTACAAACTTAGCTTATTTACACCGAATTTCCACACTAACCAGTAAAGATTCTCAAAGGGAACTTAAAAGGAAGACATGTTTTCTACAAAGGATAATTTTATTGCTTGTTTTGTTCTAGATACAAAGAGTAGCAAACTTCCTTATATAGGCACACCACATACCTAAGGAGAGGAGAATCTCCTTTTACAAAGCCAAAGTAAAAGTAAAAATAAAATAGACAAAGGAGAAGGAATCTCTTTTTATAAAGCTAAAGCAAAAATAAAACGAACAAAGGAGAAGGAATCTCTTTTTTACTTGTGGATGGGCTCGTGGCTTGGATTGACGTTCATGCATTAATACTCATACTCATCCAAAGTTGTGAGAAAGTCAGCATAGTAGTAGTAATTCTCTTTTGGAGAAGCAGATGATGTACGAGGTCTAGACTATTCCTTCTTTCATGTGTCATGCTTTTGTTTTTCGATCTAGGAGATAGATAAGCTTGAAAATGCGAACGGGTCTTGAGAATCTTAGGACAGTGGATTGTCCGTGTAGATGCCACTTGCTTGAGTGGATGATGAGTGAGCCAGTCCTTTTGTAGTGTGATACGTTCAGAAACGAATTCTACGTAATTCACACTGGGAATGAAAGGGAAATCTCAATACTGGAATTAATGGCGGCAAACAATTATAAGAAAAATGGCAAATATGGGGGTGTTCGAGTGACCCCTTGCACTCCAAGTCTCTCTACAGAAATTCTCTCCACAATTCAAAAATGCCTCTCCTTCGCTCCTCTCTTCCCTTTTATTCTCCCTAAACTTACCAATGCCTATTCTTCCGGATCTCGACACCAATCCCGAAGACTAACTAACTAACTAACTAATTATAGCCCTATCCCGCCCCATTTCCAGCGCAGCAACTTCTCCACTCTTTTGAGTATCCATTCCACTGCATCCAATCCCATGCTGCTCCCCTGCACTTGCTGGTTCCTTCCCTTGGATACGCCTTTGAGCATAAGTAAAAACAGATCGGTGGCTTATCATTACCCCCGCCCCAAAGACTCACCTTGTTCTCAAGGTGAAAAGATGGGTACTGCGCAGCAATGGCTGCATAAGATTCCCAAGTAGCGTCATGGTCCGGCAGATGAGCCCAACGAATCAAGACCTCGGGAATCAACTGCCCCCCTTGCACCCTTTGTCGCACCCTCAGCAAGGCTGCAAGCTCCACCTGCAACTCCAGATTATCCGTGAGTTGGGGTGGAAGAGGGGACACAGTATGCTCCTTCCCAACCACGCGGCGCAATTGGGAAACATGGAACACAAGATGTATGGCCGAAGCAGGGCGGCAGGTCCAGGCGATAAGCCATGGGCTCGACGCGCGCCAGCATTATATAAGGTCCATAAAAGTGGGGACTCAACTTCTCATTCCAGCGTCGAGCTAAGGAGACTTGGCGATACGGCCGGAGTTTAAGGTACACGGAGTCCCCCACCGAGAAATGTACATCACACCGTTTCCCATCTGCCACCGCCTTCATTTGCTGCTGCGCGCGCAGAAGGTGACTCTTGAGCAAATCTAACATGGCGTCACGGTCCATTAACTGGCGTTCCACCGATTCCACCGAAGAAGCGCCCACCCCATAACGCAGCAAAGGTGGGGGAGGGCGACCATAAAATGCCTGGAACGGGGTAGTGCGAATGGCTGAGTGAAAAGATGTGTTGTACCAATACTCCGACTATGCCAGCCACTTATGCCACTGCCGCGGCTTATCGTAGATAAAGCAGCGCAGATAAGTTTCGATGCAGCAGTTGACCACTTCGGACTGCTCGTCGGATTGGGGATGGTATGCCGTGCTACGTGACAAAATGGTGCCACCTCACAAATGCAACTCTGACAAAAAACGGCTAAGGAAAATGCGATCCCTATCCGAAACGATAGTACGCGGAACACCGTGTAAACGGACCACCTCATGAATGAAATGTGAGGCTACCGTCTCTGCCGAGAATGGGTGTTTAAGAGCAACAAAGTGGCCGTATTTGCTGAGGCGGTCCACCACAACAAATATAGTATCAAACCCGTCCGACCGTGGCAAGCCTTCAATAAAATCCAGTCACATCATCCCATACCTGTTCGGGAATGGGCAGGGGCTGTAACAGTCCACCAGGGGCAAGTGTGGAGGACTTACAACGCTGGCACACTTCACACTCCGCGACGTGTACAGCGACGTCCCGTTTCATGCCCACCCAATACCAATCTGCTGCCAAGCGGCGGTATGTTCTCAAAGCTCTAGAATGTCCTCCAATCACTCCATTATGGTAAGCATGCAAAAGCCTTGGCACCACAAGGGAGTCGCGCGGCACCACCATTCGTCCCTTGTGCAGCAACCTACCTTGGCCCACCGAGAATCCCGGATGAGTCGTTGCATCACGCTGTACATCCGACCAAATTTTAGCTAATTTTTCGTCTTGCAACACTTGCTGGTGTATTTCGTCGGTATTGACAATGGAGGAAGCGGCTAAAGCTTGCAAAACTGGACTAGCGGGCAGTCTAGACAGGGCGTTGGCAGCACGGTTGTATGCCCCAGGGCAGTACTGGATCTCAAAATCATACCCCATTAACTTAGTTAACCACTTTTGGTACTTAGGACTTACTAATCGCTGCTCCAGCAGGTACTTGAGACTTCGTTGATCAGTCCGGATCACAAAACGACGTCCCAACAGGTACGGGCGCTATTTCTGTACTGCTAGCACAATGGCCATGAGCTCCTGTTCGTACACCGACTTGCTTTGTGCTTGCATCGACAACACCTGGCTGTAATAGGCAATCAGGCGGTGCTCCTGCATCAAAACCGCGCCCACACCAAACCCGGAAGCGTCCGCCTCCAGCACAAAAGGTTTGGTGAAATCCGGCAGGGCGAGGACGGGCACACTCGTCATTGCATGCTGTAAGGCACCAAAAGCCCGTCCGGCGTCCTCAGACCATCTGAAACTGTCCTTCTGTAGCAAGTCAGTCAACGGCCTTGCAATGCGGCCATATCCTGCCACAAATTTCCGGTAGTATCCGGTCAGTCCCAGAAAACCCCGTAACTCCCATACGCTCTCTGGCGTGGGCCAACTGGTCATGGCCGCTATCCCCTTCTCCAGACACAATGTGGCCGAGGTATTCCAGTGAACGCTATCCAAAGCTACATTTCTTGGCATTAGCAAAGAGTTAGTGCTGCCGCAACACCGCCAACACTTGATCTAAGTGATGTGCGTGCTCCTCTTTCGACCGGCTGTAGATGAGTATGTCGTCAAAAACAAACCAAGACGAATTTGCAGAGGTAGGCTCGCAACACGTCGTTCATCAGGGACTGGAAGGTGGCCGGTGCGTTGGTAAGCCCGAAGGGCATAACGAGGAACTCGTAATGCCCGTCGTGGGTGCGGAATGCTGTCTTCGGCACATCTTTCGGCCTCACGCGGATTTGATGGTAGCCAGACTTAAGGTCTATCTTGGAGAATATCGTAGCACCGTGAAGCTCATCTAGTAGTTCATCTATCACCGGAATCAGAAATCGATCCGGCACCGTTTCTTTGTTCAATGCGCGGTAGTCCACGCAGAATCGCCAACTCCTATCTTTTTTTTAACTAACAAAACTGGACTAGAGTAGGGACTAACACTATCTTGGATGATGCCGGCTGCCAGCATTTCCCCTACCAATTTTTCAATCTCTGCTTTCTATACCCGAGGGTAACGATAAGGCCTCACACGGATTGGGGAAGTTCCAGCCTTTAGCACAATCGCATGGTCCCTCGTTCTCTCTGGCGATAATCCCACCGGCATTTCAAAGACCGCGGCGTGTTTCTACAACACCCTCTGTAGCCCTTCCGGCACTCCGCGCACCTCCTCCTGCGTGCTCATTCCCACATTATTCAGTTCCACCCAAATTCCCTGACCATCATGTTTGAGAGCCCTCATGGGTGCTTTAAGGGTGACCGAAACCTTATTCAATCCAGGGTCCCCCTTCAACGACACCGAACATCCACCTAAACTAAATTTCATAAGCAGAGTCTTCCAATTCACCATCATTACGCCCAGGGTCTCTAACCATTGGACTCCCAAAATCAAATCAGAGCTCCCTAGTTCCAAGGGTAAAAAATCTTCTATAACCTCAATTCCCTGCATCGACACAGCCACCCACCGACATATTCCTTCTCCCTTAACCGATAACCCTGTTCCTATAACCACGCCATATCCCCCGGTCCGGTCCACCGCCAACCCCAACCCCTTAACTAGGTCACATGCAATAAAATTGTGGGTCGCCCCACTATCGATCAGAATAATTACCTCACATCCCCCGACTTGCCCTTGGAGTTTCATGGTTTTAGGTGCCGTAAGACCCACCACCGAATTGAGGGAAAGCTCAACCAATTCTTCTTCCACATCCGCGAACATGCCTTCCTCCGGGCATTCCCCCCGTTCTTCCTCCTCCTGGACAATCAACACCTATAATTCCCGGTTTGGGCAACGGTGGCCCCAGAATACTTTCCGTCACACCGGTAGCACAACCTTCTTTCCCGCTTCATCTGAATCTTAGCGTCGGTCAGCCGCCTAAATTGTGCTGTGGGTGCTCTCGTTCCCAAATCCTTCTCGGCGAGGGTGTTTGTCCTTCCCATAGGCGTATTTGATACGCCCAGCCCTAGCCCAGATGTTCCTGACCCTCCAGATGGCCCACATGAGCTGCTGGCTGTTTGTCTACCCCCCAACCCACCCTGCACATATTGGGCCCTTGGGCCACGAACCTGTAGGTTACGGTCTTCCACCCGTTGGGTGAGCTCCATGATTCGGCCCAATCCCGCGGGCCTCATCATCTTGATTTCTGCGCGGATCTCTGGTCATAGCCCGTTCACAAAAGTGCTCTCCAGCACCTGTTCTGAGACCTCTGTTAATGGCGCCGCCAGAATCTCGAATTGTTTACGGAATTCCCAGACCGTTGTGTCCTGACGCAACGACAAAAACTTCTCGCAGAAACTCCCCTCTTGCGTCGATCGGAAGCGCTCAAGCAACAACCTCTTTAGATCCGGCCAGTCACGAACAGCGCGCCGCCGATCCTCCCATTAGAGCCAGGCCAACGCCTCACCCTCAAAACTCACAACCAACGCCTCCAGCTTTTCATTTTCTGTCAGCCTGTTTAAGGTAAAGAACCTCTCGGCTCGGAAAATCCATCCGTCGGGATTCTCACCGTCGAACGTCGGCATCTCCACCCGGCGCGTGCGAAACTCCGCCCGAGGTCCACCATCCCTCCTATCTTCGTACATCGGCGCCGGCTGATCTACTGGTTCCTGCTCCATCGTCGTCCGATGCCTCAGCAATTCATCAAATCTTGTGAGCAAAAACTCCATCCCCTGCTCGAGCCTCGAAATTTTCTTCAAATCCTCTCGTACGAGCTCAAACTCCCTCTGGAAGTCTTCTCTCACTGCTTCACCCCTGACCTTCTCACTTTCATCGGTTCGCTTCGTCATTCCCGGAACGTGGGCTCTGATACCAAATGATACGTTCGGAAATGAATTCTACGTAATTCACACTGGGAATGAAAGGAAAACCTCAATACTGGAATTAATGGCGGCAAACAATTATAAGAAAAATGGCATATATGGGGGTGTTCGAGTGACCCTTGCACTCTAAGTCTCTCTACAGAAATTCTCTCCACAATTCAAAAGTGCCTCTCCTTCGCTCCTCTCTTCCCTTTTATTCTCCCTAAACTTACCAATGCCTATTCTTCCGGATCTCGACACCAATCTCGAAGACTAACTAACTAACTAACTAATTATAGCCCTATCCCGCCCCATTTCCAGCGTAGCTCCTTCTCCACTCATTTGAGTATCCATTCCACTGCATCCAATCCCATGCTGCTCCCCTGCACTTGTTGGTTCCTTCCCTTGTATACGCCTTCGAGCATAAGTAAAATGGATCGGTGGCTTATCATAGTGTCTTAGTGCAGATGATAGTAGTTCGTTTCTTGTTTAAGATGCCTTGAGTATTCTGGAGGGAATTGTTCCCATGGTGCATCTTCTTTTGGGCTTGGCCAAATCTCTGTTGGGATAATCTGGCTTTCGAGAAAGAGTGCTTTTTGCAGTTCTCTATAATCTGGATAACTGATTGGGTTGATTAGAAACTCGTTGGAACCATACACTTCGACAATTGGGTTAATGGTGATTGAGGGAATCTCTTAACCATTTCCTAGCCGATGATAAACTCACTGCCTCAGTCACCATTAACCCAATTGTTGAAGTCTATGGTTCCAGTGAGTTTCTAATCCACCCAATCAGTAATCCAGATTATAGAAAACTGCAAAAGGCACTCTTCTTCAAAAACCAAATAATTCCACAAGAGATTTGGCCAAGCACAAAAGAAGATGCACCATGGGAACAATTACCTGCATACTCAAGGAAGCTTCAACAAGAACTAGACTACTATCATCTGCACCAAGACACTGTAGAAAGACTGGATGACTCATCATCCACTCAAGCAAGTGACATCTACATGGACAATCCAGTGTCCAAGATTCTCAAGACGCACTCGCATTTTTAAGCTTGTCCATTTCCCAGATCTCAGAAAAAAGCATGACACGTAGCAGAAGGAATGGTCCAAACCTAGTACATCATCTGCTTTTCCAAAGGAGAATCACTACTACTGTGAACTTTCTCACAACTTTGGATGCATACGAGTATGAATGCATGAACCACAGTGCAAGTCACGAGCCCATCCACAAGTAAAAAGGATATTCCTTCTCCTTTTTCCATTTTTCTTTAGCTTTGTAAAAGGAGATTCCTTCTCCTTTGTCCGTTTTACTTTTGCTTTAGCTTTGTAAAAGTAGATTCTTTCTCCTTTGTCTATTTTACTTTTGCAATAGCTCTATAAAAGGAGGTTCTCCTTTCCTTAAGTCTGTAGTGTGCCTATATAAGGATCTTCGTTACTCTTTGTATTTGGAACAAAACAAGCAATCAAAAAAATCCTTTGTAAAAAAACATGTCTTCCTTTTAAGTTTCCTTTGAGAATCCGTTGTAGTTAGATAGCTGTGTAGATTAAGATTAACCAAACAGAGAAATGATCCGTAAGTAAGAATCTACTAGTATAGATCTAATCAGACAATGGTGGCATAGTAAGTGATAATCTCAAAAATCATACAGATGCTCGTTCTAGCCAGGTGGGCAATCCAGGGCTTGATTTGGTTATGAGGTTTTATTACTACCTATTCCAAGCAACGTCCTCAGATATATGCTAGGAAAGTTAATGGCATACCACAAGAACAGAGTGTCATTGTTTCAATATTCTCGTATGAGACTTTGGATTTGAACTTGCAAGTTGCAAGTGATTTTAATTTTTACTTGCACGGATTTCTAGAAATTGATTTGAAATAAGGCCTTTTTATAACTCTTAGCCCTTGTCAGTTGTAACTATGGTTCTCAATGAATGATCTAACAAAGTCGCTACCTAAAAGAACTTAACTGGACTAAAGAGCTTGTGTTGGATTCCATTAGTTATCACTACTGATTTAGTATTGGCAAAACGTTCTGTATAATTTAGAGGCATAAAGTTTATGGTTCATTTGCACTAATTCCTTTGGTATTTGAGTATCAGAAGTCTTGCTGAACTCTTGGTTTGGTTTCACAATTCACATACACGTGCTGCTCATATTCTGTCTGCCAAAATAAGTGATCAGAAGAGGGATATATAAAAAATGAACATAAGATTATTCAATGGCAGCCACGCACAATACTTTGAAGCCCTTCAAACTTCTTTCATCAATTTTCTTTAAAATTCGATATTTATGATAAATAGACGGTTACAACCACCTAACTTGTATCCCTAGTGGTCGAGTATAATGTTCTCTAGTTTGTAGTAAAATTCAAGAACTTCATTTTCACACCTAACTTTGTATTTATAAAAAATAATTAAAAAAAAGAGCTTTATGTACTACTTCAGGCGGAGCCGCAGAAGTATTTGATTGCAAAGAGTTATTCTGATGCTATTTTTGGTAATTGTTCTTATACTATTTTTTGTCATGTTTGTTCTGGTACCACTTTATTCCACCTCCTTTACATATCTTCGTACGGTTGATACTATAATATGCTGCCTTTAGGCTGTATCTACTCTAGGAACTTTACAATTGATGTAGATTTATTCATCCAACTGCTTTGGTTTGAATGAGCCAATTTTAACGTTGCAACCAAATCTTCATTATTAGCAGTTCTAGGAGGAAGGTCCCACAAAGTTGGTAAAGAAAATTTTATGTAGCAATGACATCTTTTCTATTACTCTTACTGTTTGTCTGCAACTTTGTTTAGAAGTACCATTGACCCGAAATCTACATATGGCGGCCGAGGAAAACGATTCCTGTTTCTGCTTGATTGTCATCTTGTCTTTAATGGCGGGTCACTGGAAGTTGAATCTGGTAGGAGTCTTAAACAAAAACTTACGGCGTAGTTAATGGGGTTGGTTCTGTCGAATAAACTTACGGCCATTATAGTTTGCAGCTTTGCTTGCAGGTTATGGGACCGAAATTTGTATTGTTAATCTGCAATGATGTATGATAAAAGCTGAAGTACATAACTAATCAACTTCTAGAGGAATCAGGTCAGTCATAAGGTTAGTTGGACTTGCTTCTAACGGTATTTTAAGACAGATGAACCATTCATGTCATCCCTACCAAACTGAAAAATAGACCCTTCTACTTGTGAAAAATTGTATTTTTATTAGCATATTATTTTATCGTGTACTATTTCTTGAAAATAAATAGAGGGTACGTTGATGGCAAGGAATTAGGAGGCAATAGAAAGACCATACTATATTAATAGCTCGTTTGGTTCACACGTTTAAGTCAGTAATTTTGATTCTGAATTCAAATTTTGTGAGAGAATCGATTAACAGGATTTTTTTTTATTCTACTTTTTTATGAAAGAAAAGTATTGTAGTAGAATCAAAGTCATAGGTTCAAACGCGTGAACCAAACGGACCCTAAAGTAAAGAGGCATAGTGACTAGTCGTTTATGGCAAAGCTTTTAGAAGGCCGACCACTGCATAGAGAGATACCAATTATGAGAGACGGTGGAGCCTAGAGAGGCGGAAGCAGTAGCTTTATCGGATGAACCTGAGCCGATAATGTATTTTTTAGGTGAAAAATGAGAGCTTTTGATTTATCAGTTTAAAATAAAGGGTTATTTCTCAAAGCAGCCTTGCCTTAAAAGATCCAAATGGGAGAGAGCATAAAATTCTAAACCTTTTGTTTATTGTGTTCCCTTATGCAATTGAAATCTGCAGTCTCTTGCTTCAATCTCTAATTATATTAGCCGAGGACATATCCACTGACATAAATAAATAAATAATTGTCCCTGCTTATAGAAAAAAAAAAAACAGAAAAAAAGAAAAGATTCTTGTGACTTCTGGATTAAGAC